GGCTCTGAGCGCTGCACGCTTGGGGTACGCTTGATCACTCATCCGCCTTTTCTCGTTGGCCGACCTGACAAAGGGCCTTGTCCAGGAGCTGCAAGTGCTGGAGCGCACGCTCGAGCGCTCACGCGCTCTCGTCTCCACGCGCATCTCCATCATGAACTCCAGAGTGGCCCTCGCTGAGAAGTCCCGCTGCTTGCATTGCTCGGAGAAGAGCAAGGAGGTTCGAGCCACACCCAATCATCATCCTTCAAGCGACACACTTTGGCTTTCTCGCTCACCGTAGGCGTGTGTGCGTGTGCGTGTGCGTTCACGTCAGGTTGTGTTCGTTCCTTGTGGCCACCGCGCGCTTTGTCAAGCGTGCGCGACTCCCGTGCTGCTGTGCCCCGTGTGTGACGTGCCCATCGCCTCCAAGGTGGTCTCGTACGACACCTGAGTGCAGACACCTCGCAGACAACCCGTGGTATCACGTTTTCTCGTCCTCTTGTACATAGTGCGGTCGCACGGGGTCCTAGGACTGGCCGCTGCTGGGTGCTTGTGTGCCGCGGTGTGGGGGTTGTTAAGGGGATCTCTTTTGCTTGTGTGATTGGTGGCTGAAGTGGATTAAAACATAATAGTTTTCGATTTTTGTCGTCACCTCGAAACTCCGGCCCACCACGTCGGACAGGTGCCTCTTCTCGTTTCGCGTACAACATCGAATCCGTCGCCAGTCCGGCCACACGGGAAGAAGATGAATCAGTCGAACTCGTCGCGACTGCTTTTGGGCGGGATGGTCGTACTGATCGTCCTGAATTATTTCATCTTCTACAACGTTATCGATCGGCAGAATCCAGGAGATGGCGGCATCGATCAGAACCAGCTGCGCAAGGCGATCACGGTGGACATCCTCGAGATGCAGCTGGAACGGAAGGAGAACCGCATCAGGGAGTTGGAGCAACAAGTGGCGAGCGCGAAGAGCGGTGGCCGCCCTTCCACAGCTCTGGCCCAAGCGAAGCCCAAGCAGACCCTTCACGTCGGTTGGCAGTGGCAGGGCCGCGAGACGAGGAAGGTGCGATTCTTCGACGGCAATGAGGCTTACGTCTACAAGACCACCTACGAGGGTTCGATGGCCAATCCCCATCAGCCTCACATAGACTGGTGGGACGTCATCGAGTCTCGTTCCTGGGAAATCGAGACGTTCTTTGTCTACAAGACCTTCCTTGGACCCACGAGCTCGTTCATCGACTTCGGCTCGTGGATTGGACCCACTGTTCTCTACGGCGCTACTCTGGTACCATGCGTTTCCTTTCATCTTTGTCAATCTTGCTCTTGCTTACTTTCTTCAATTATTAATTGCTTTTATATTTCTTAATTATTAATTGGCATTTGCATTTACAATGGCAAAGTCCCCAACCGCTCCGCTTCTCACAAAACCCAACCTCTCGCGTGCAGGCCAAGAACGGTTATGCGCTGGAACCCGACCCATACGCTTTCGACGAAGTGCGCGCCAACCTGGCCCTCAACCCTCGCCTGCAGGATCACACCTCCATCTTCTGGAAGTGCATCATGGACAAGCCCGGCATCTACCCCATGGGCGGTGGCGGCGGTGACAGCATGGCCTCCGTCGGCAGTGCCAATCATCCTAAGAGCTGGAAGGTACGTTTCCATACCATTCATCACGTGGTCTAGCGCTAACTGGTTGTGACGTTCTCTTTCTCTCTCTTCGTCTCACTGCCTAGGTGGACTGCATGACGCTCCCTCAGTTTATCAATGAACACCAGATCGAAAACCTCCACCTCATCAAGATGGATCCCGAGGGCGCTGAGCACATCATCCTCCCCTCGTTCAAGCCCTGGCTGATGCAGCAGAAGGTGCAGTCTTGGCAACTCTTACGCTGCGCGGAACGCTCATTTTTCCCTTCTTCTTCTTGCTCTTCATCGTTGCAGGTCAAGCCGACGCTGTGGCTCAGCATCCACAAGTGGAACTTCGCTCCCGGCGGCGCCGAGGCCGTCGTCGACGTGCTGCGCCTGTACAAGCGAGTGTTCGAAGGTCACCAGAACCAGGTGGACATCAACAGCTACACGCTCTGCGACTTCTGCACCATCCTGGCGACCGACCTGGACGTCCCGATCTACCACGAGTAAGAGACGAACGACGGCGAGTACACACACGCACACCAGCCCGAGCTCTACGCGCAACACCCTTCTATTTATTTTTTGTTTGATCCTCTTTCCTCAAGCCTCTCTCTTTCCCTTCGGTCGTATCGACCAGCTCTTACGTGTACACTTTGGAGCAGTGGTGCATTGACTCAAGAATATGGCTTCATCGTCTTCCTGCTCCGCCGCCACAGCGCGCTTCATCCTCATCCTGAAAGCCTACAGCGACCAACGTTGGATTGGAATGTGCATACCTTCTTGTGGTTTTGTCCAGTTATTGTCGGGTTCGGGTGTGCTCTGAGAGGCAAGCGAAAGCGCGGCAAGGTGGCGCACGAGCAGGATGTTGGGACTGTTGTCGAAGCTGGTGTCGCCGGCCAAGCCCAACCCAGAGGCCGCGGGTGCGGAGGGCGAAGACTTCTAGTACGCGTAATCCCCTACAGGCATCGCATCTGGCACTGCATCGCTCATCTCAACGATTTTTATCCATTCATCTCCGATTTTTTTCCACCTTGTCCTCAAAGCTTTGAGGAGTTGTTGCCTCTCTTGCAGCACGATTGCCTTCGGGTAGTGGTACGCGTGCTGCCTTGTGCGTTCACGGGCCGCAGGGAAAGTGGGCACGCAGCTGACGCGTAGAGCGTGCCGCGCGGTGGGTTCAAACAGTTCTACCAAGAGCGTGCAGGCCAGGGCAGTGCCGAGCTGCTCTTCGACTCGCACGCCTCGCGAGGCCGAGATAAGGCATCAGACAAGGACAAGGGCAAGGACGGCGCTAAGGCTGCTGATGCAGCACCATCCCCGCTCAAGGTGCGTACTAGTACAGAC